TGCATATGAAGGAGATGGGGTACTAAAAATTAAATTATTGTTTTTTTTTTTTTTTTTTTAAATTTTAAATAAAAAAATACTCTTTTAAAATTTAAATTCTAAATTAATTTTTTTTTTAAATTTAAAAATCGAAATTTAAACTTTCAGCACGCTCTCTAATTCCTGCGCATGCGTAATCACATCGACGTAAACTTCACTATGTAGTCCTAAAGTAGAGAACGCGTCGCATAATTTTTTTCCACTTTGTCATATATATTCCTAAAAGTGAGTGGTATGCAATCGTAGCCATTACCTCTCATTTTTTTTTTATTTTTATTATCTATCTATCTATCTTGGTATTCGTTAATTTTCTTCTTTTTCTTTGTGCTGTATCCACTCCAAATGTGGGCGATAATGACTCTCCACAACTTCCTATCCTTGTAACTCTTATCAATGTTTTGTCTTTTTACTATTCCTCCGACTACTTGTTCTTTTTATTATTCCTCCCACTCCACAAGCTCTTTGAGTGTGTTACTTGATTGTTCCCCACCGGCTCTCTTGTCTGCAATTTGTTCTGTGAGTGTCAAATTTTCCAAACCTTCTTTCCACCTTATGATTCCTAGTAATTTTTTCTGTCTCTTTCTCATTCTAAGTATAAGTGACCTTTTTTACACTCGAAGGTAACCTAGTGAGGATCGAACTCGATACAGTAAAAATCATTTTCGAGACGCGTTTGTTAAGCATTACTCCACGGCAGGACATCACATCACCGCATAGATTGATATTTAGACACAAGGAGAGAATAATGAAGCATGCCGTATCGAACGCGTTAACATCTTCTCCATAGCGATGTTTCATCAATGTCTGCATATGTGTAGATATTGATAAAGTCTGCCACAAGGACATCAGTGGCGCTCGCGGTTTCGATCAGTCTCACTATTTGCAGAATGGCCTGATGTTAATACGAGTATAGTACAAAGACACAATTAATGAGCATCCAATAGCTGCTACTGTTTCCGTTCATCTTAAGAAAAGTGTTGATTTTTCTTTGGCAGCAAATGCGATTTACGTTTGAGAATTTGGCATACACCAGATGAGACATTTTTTTCGAATTAAAATTGTCTAGAACCTTCTCTCTCAATATATATATATATATATATATATATATATATATATATGTGTGTGTGTGTGTGTTTTGAACAATAAAAAATATTAAAAAATTAAAAAATAAAAAATTTTCAGACACACTATATTTTTTTTTTGTTTTATTATTTCAATTAGGTTCCTCGACTAGTTTCGGCCAGCATCAGGAGAAAAAAAATTAGGAGAAAAAAAATATCGACTTGTTCACTCCTGTACTTTTTAAGAACGAATTGAGTTCTCTGAACCATTGGCGTATTTTGCATAGAAAAATTTTCCCTTCCTCCCTGAGACGATAGCCTAGGGGTAGGATCTCCGAATGATGTCAAAGCGGTTAGGTTTCGATCCCAGCTTGAAGATAATCGGACGTCTAGTCATATTGAGGAGCTGTGATACAGCGAAACAGTCTGTCTGTGGATATATATATATATATATATATATATATATATATATATATGTATATATATATATATATATATATATATATATATATATATATATATATATATATATATATATATATATATATATATATATATATATATATAATCAGATGCACTAGAACAGTGAAGAAGAAAATTCGCACGCTTGAAATCCTCCTCCTTCAACTACAACGCCTATGTCCCTGCCCAGTAGTTGCAAAACACCACTCTTGGTAATTTTTCTTATTCTTCACTATTCCAGTGCATCTCTCATTACTCTGTCCTAGACATTGAGTTCTACCTGGATCCTTCATCTTGGAAAATTTTTTTCTGAAAATATACATGTATGGGAATTTTTTAGATATATTTTTCATATGTATGTATATTTTCCACTAATATTATATATATATATATATATATATATATATATATATATTGAACAATAAGAAAATTAAAATCATTAGACACACTAGGTTGTAGATTAATATTCTTTCGTTTTTTTATTATTATTATTCCATTTAGATTCCTCGACTAGTTTCGACCGAAATGGCCATCATCGGGAGGAGAAATATTTCTGCTTGCTGTTAGCAGTGAACTACAGAAATGAATGTCTTTTGTTGGATAAAATGAACTTTTGTCTGTAGTTTTCATTTTTTTTTTTTTTTTTATCTTTTTCATATATATATATATATATATATATATATATATATATATATATATATATATATATATATATTCATATATATATATTCTTCACTGTTCCAGTGCATCTTATATATATATATATATATATATATATATATATATATATATATTCATCTTATAGATGCACTGGAATATATATATATATATATATATATATATATATATTTGCATCTTATATATATATATATATATATATATATATATATATATATATATAGGGAATTTATATATATATATATATATATATATATATATATATATATATATGTCATCCCCATATATATATATATATATATATATATATATATATATATAATAGTATAAGAATATATATATATATAAAAATTACCAAAAATTGCAGTGGTGTTTTGCAACTACTGGGCAGGGACATAGGCGTTGTAGTTGAAGGAGGAGGGATTTCGCGCGTGCGCGCACATACACACACTCACGCCACGCGTGTGTGCACACTCAGTATATCAGTATCGGTATTGTACTGCGGTCGGTACGAGGGAAAGTCAAAAATTATCCGTACTCAGTAACTTTAAACGTTATTTCTAGTGGATACTCATATTTGAATAGACGCTCTGTTTATTTATGACAAAGACCGTAAAAATCTTTCTCTAATAACATTTCTCGAACATTCAGGCCGGTAGACGAAAACGAATAGATTGTTTAATAAATAAACGAAGTGTCTACTCAAATAAAATTTCCACAAAAAATGTCTAAAATAATTTTTTGGCTTAATAAATATCCATTACATTCATTAGAATATATATATATATATATATATATATATATATATATAAACAACCGGTTCTGGTCGTGGGCGTTATCATCATAAGTACTGATCGAAGTCAGTTTTTCCGGAATTGATAATTCATTCATACGCCTCCTCCCGGATTTCTACCCGTTTTGTTGTTAGTTTCCATAATTTATATTTCGATCCATTAACTTGCTTGTTGGACAAGGCACTTCGAGGCAGAACATTATCTATCTATCTATCTATCTATCTATCTATCTATCTATCTATCTATCTATCTATCTATCTTCGTCTCTTCATTATCTATCTTCCTCTCTTCATTATCTATCTATCTATCTATCTATCTTCGTCTCTTCATTATCTATCTTCCTCTCTTCATTATCTATCTATCTATCTATCTATCTTCGTCTCTTCATTATCTATCTTCCCCTCTTCATTATCTATCTATCTATCTATCTATCTATCTATCTATCTATCTATCTATCTATCTATCTTCGTCTCTTCATTATCTATCTATCTATCTATCTATCTATCTATCTATCTATCTATCTATCTATCTATCTATCTATCTTCGTCTCTTCATTATCTATCTATCTATCTATCTATCTATCTATCTATCTATCTATCTATCTATCTCCATCATCCACTCGATCTCCCTATTTCATTTTGTCTGCTTCATCCTTTCTCTCTTTCTCATTGTTTCCATTTTCCTCCCTCATTCTCTATCACCCAAAATTTCTCCATTTTGCTCTCTCCCTCGTTCTTTCAACATTTCTCTATTTCACTCCGTTTATCGGTCCCTCTCTCCCACTTATTCTTTTTCTCTCTCCTTCATTCTCTCTTTCTCTGTCCCTTTCTCGTTCACTTTCTTCCTCATTCTGTCACCTTCACCGTCTCTTTCTTTTTTCTTCTTTTGTCTTTCTCTCATTATATCCGCCTCTCTCGATCTCTAAGTATTTTTCTCTTTCCTTTTCATCGATCTATTTTCCTCATTCTTTCTTTTTCTCTCTCCTTCATTTTCACTTTCTCTGTCTTTCATATTCTCTCTTTTTCTGTAATCTTTCTCTCATTTTATCTCTCTCTCTCTCATTCTCTATCAGTCTCGTTCTCACCATCTCTCTCTCTCTCTAAGTATTCTCTCCTTTACTTGACCTCTCTCCATTATCTCTTTTTCTCTCTCGTTCATTTTCTCTCTCTCTCTCTCTCTTGATCTCACTGCCTCATTCTTTTTATCTTCATTCTCTCTGATTCTATCCGTCTCTTTTCCCCATTCTCTCTTAATCTCTCTCAGTATATTTCTCTATCTCTCCTTTTTTCGATTCCTCATTCTCTTTCACTATATTTTCTTCATTCTTTCTTTCGCTTTTGCATTCTCTCGATCTGCTTATCTCATTCATTTTCTTTCTCATTCTGTCCTTCTCTCTCTCTGTCATTTTGTATCACCCTCGATCTCTCCATCTCTTTCAGTGTTTCTCTATTTCTATTCATTTGTCGATCTCTCTCCCTCTTTCTTTCTTTCTTTCTTTCTTTCTTTCTTTCTTTCTTTCTTTCTTTCTTTCGCACTCTCTATCTTTCATTCTGCTTCTCTCTCTCCATCACATTATCTCTTTTTTTTTAACTTTCTCTGTCCTTCATTCTTTCACCCTCTTTCTCTTCTACATTCTCTCAATCTGTTTACCTCATTATTTATTTTCTCTCTCATTCTGTCTGTCTCTCTGTTCGTCTCTCTCTCTCTTTCATTCTTTATCACCCTCTCTCAGTGTTTCTCTATTCCTATTCATTTATCGATATCTCTCCCTCATACTTTCTTTCTTTCTTTCTTTCTTTCTTTCTTTCTTTCTTTCTTTTTTTTTTTTTTCTCTCTCTCTACCCCATTTTCTCTTCTTTTTTTTACTCTCTCTCTCCTTCACTGTCTCTTTCTCTTACATTTTCCTTATTCTCCTTTTCTTTCTTCTTCTTTCTCTCTATCTCTCCGACAACCCATTTCTTGTTAGAGAAAGCAACAAATATTGACGTGGCCTCATCATCAAATGTTTTGAAAGCAAATCAACAATATTTCTTTAGTTCGTTTTTTTTTTCTTTTTCTACTGGACATGATTCCTTCCCTTAAGAAATATTCCCGGATTCCAGGTACAAATACTGACGCATAGCCTCATTTTTGGGGGAGTTAATTATTATTATTACTTATTGTCATTGTTCTCCGTTTTATCCTGCTACACTCAGCGTTCATATTTCTGTAAACAACAACAACAAATCAGGTATCGTGGCACAACAGGTAAACATAATTTTATTATATATTTATTTACCTGCATTATCGATTAGAGCAGCTAGTGCTTTGCACTTTACTGTATTAATAAATCCCCAAAGAGGGGTGTAAGTAGTCCGTTTGGGTACCCTTAGTTCGCCGGTAAAAAAAAAGAAAGAAAAAATAAAGAAAGAAAAGAATGAAAGAAGATTAGGTAATAACATTTGTATACCACATCCAACGCGACGGTCAGTCTATGTTGAGTTTTTTTTTATATGTTGTGTTTTGATGAGTGCTATTGTGGCTGTGATAAACAAACGAACAGAATTTATTAGATGCATTATGTTGTAATATTTTACTTCTAAAATCGAGGAAAAAAAAATAACACGCTGTTAAATTTTACAAACAAAAATAGAGTCTGTCATCTATTACGTGTGCATTGCTTTTTTTATCTAGAGCGGAGAGGGGGAGAAAATTAAGAAGAAGTAAAAGAAAATTAAGAAGAAGAAAAAGAAGAAAATACTGAAAAGGAGAGAGAGAGAGAGAGAGAGAGAGAGAGAGAGAGAGAGAGAGAGAGAGAGAACGAAAGGAAAAAAAAGGAAAACGAAGAAAGACAGTGAGAGCGAGTACATCTTGCTTTACTTGTGTGTGTGCGCGCGCAAGTCTATGCTATGCCGTTTTATTCCGGATCCCTCACCGGTAACAGCGTTGGCCGTCACCTACTGAATACGAAAAAACACAAACGACAGTGTCAGCTACAGCAGCAACATCGGCGTAAGCCTTGCAACGATCGCCTGCCCAAGATACTCAGTCACAGACCTGAATTCTGCTGCTATCAGAGGAAACGCTATCCCTATCATCACGAACGCTGTCAAAGCAATCAACGCTGCCGACACCATCACAACAAACGACCATTTCAACACGACTATTTCCACTCCGCTAATTTGGTGTGCAGTAACCTAACATCGGCGCCCAGTCAACAAGCCAGGGCCACCGACATTCGTGGCGTGGCAGTCGCCGGGGATATCGGGTCTGGCCTGAATTCAACCCTAGTGTCGGCAGCAGCGTTAGCCACTTCGATCTTAACGGGGCTGCCCTCACTAATTCAGAAACCAACACTACTACACACCACCCAAACTGATAGCGCCGAGAATTACATGATGCATTGTAATGTCGACAAAAACCGTCAGCCTTCAAATCCCAATGGAGCGATGGGGCCAAACACCGCAGCAAAAAGCACCCCAGAACCTACCCGTATATCCTACCTGCATGACCCCGCGAGTATGGTCCGCCAATTATTTTTACAAGAACTTCTAGTGACTACCGCTGTCATCATCGTGTTTATAGCCATCCGAACCGTATATACTGTTATGAGGCGGCGTTGGGCAAGGATTACTGTTATTGTAATTGGCGGAGGTCCAATCGGGTTGACAGCAACGTATATCGCCTCAAAATGTGCCCGTGTGGCGCGTCTTGTACTTTACGAAGAATTATGTCGGAGTGCCCTTGTCAATCGGCTTAACCAATTGGCTTTCGATTTGAAAAGCATTACTTTTCTAAAAGGACTGGGAATAGACTTCGATAACCTAGAGGGCTGTTGGCAAAATAGTAGTTTCGCGACTCGAGCAGGAATATTTCAGGAGTACCTGTTAAATCTCTTGGAGAAGGTGGATATACCTATGGATCTAAAATTCCAGACAAAGGTAGGAGAATTTTAATAATATTTGTATTCTTTAAATCGCTATCATAGCAGTAGATGAGGCTTCTGTTTTCGCTTTGTTTTGCTTTCAAACTGTGTCAATATTAATAGCAGTCGACCGCCTTATCAGTAAGATTTCAATTTAAAAAAAAAATAACGGGAAATACGTCAGTATGTATATACACGTGTATAGGCAGGCAAGCTTACAACAATATCACACTGGAACATTGCTTCTCGTACGACTATTCAAGTTAAGCAACGTCGATCCTGGTCAGTACCTAGATGGGTGAACGCATGCGAATACGAGGTGCTGTAATCTTTGGATGTGCGGATAGTGTAATAATTAACGGCTCGGAATTCGAAACAGGAGAACCGAGCTCCAATTCCAGTTGGTTTCGTTATATTCACCCATGAGTTGGGAGAGGCATGAATCCAGCTCTTATCCCTCGACTATGGGTTAATTAGTAGGATTTGTATCAGCAAATCCTTATTATCTCCAAAATTCTTACAATCGAAAAATATTTCCTGGCTTTAAATAACCTGTAAAAGGTTGACAAACCGTAAAAAACAAATCAATGAATTCAGCACGGAAAAAAGAAGCATTTATTTTAAACGTATATTTATTTTTCATTATTAGTTAATTAATTATCAATACACTTAACCGAACGATTCTCCATTACACAGACACAAGATATTATACAGTGAAAATTTCAGACCAAATGACAGTTAATAACTGTGTCAGGTTACGAACTTATATATATATATATATATATATATATATATATATATATATATATATATATATATATATATATATATATATATATATATATATATATATATATATATATATATATATATATATATATATATATATATATATATATATATAGAATTAATTTTTCATAATCCGACAATCCGACACTTTTATTATTCAAACATTATTTTTAGTCGATACATATATACTAGAGTGCTTAACCCGGTAGACGTAAATTACTCTCTTTAGAAAAACGGAGCGTCTACTCAAATACGGTTATACACTAAAAATACCGTTTGAAGAAATCAAAATTTAAATTAAAAATAAATCCATTTATTCTTTAGAAATTGCTTTGTTTACGTTTCGGATACGAAAATGTGCAGATGTGGTCTTTCAAGAAAAACTGAGCAGGTTGGGTGAGGGGCCATGTGCATAGTTAAACATTAGACAGAACCTTGCTAGATTTTCATGCTCACCAGGGACGAGCCGTTTCGCAGGTGAACGCAATATATATTGTTAAAAAATTATATATATATATATATATATATATATATATATATATATATATATATATATATATATGTGTGTATATATATGTATAAGTTTTTAGGTTTTGTTTTTGGAATATGAGAATTCCTATTTAGTGATGGAATCATATTTAAAAAAAAAAATAATTATATATATATTACCTAACCAGTTCTTTCCTATTTTCTATATATTTTCACACACACACACACACACACACACACACACACACACACACACACACACACACACACACACACACACACACACACATATATATATATATATATATATATATATATATATATATATATAAATTATATATATTATATAATTTTTTGCTTTACTTTATATTGAGCACTTTAAAAAAATGCTACGAACTGGATTTTTACTCCATCTGTTCCTTCTTTCTTTTCATTTGTATATATATATATATATATATATATATATATATATATATATAATATTATAAAATTAAAAATTAAAATTAAAAAAAATATTAGATTAAAAATAAATCTAGCCGCATCCCTCTAGTGACCACTTTCAACCCCACTCTGCCTCCACTATCCCAAATAATCAAACGTCCCTGGGAAATACTACATCTCAAACCAAACCTAAAAAAAATGTTTAGGGAACCCGGCCTTCTTGCATATCGTAGACCTAAGAACCTAAAAGAAATCATAAGTAATAACCACATTTCAGGGGACAAGGTAATCTGTAATAAACCAATAACAAAAACAACAGGATTTTCCCAACCATGTAAGAACAAAAGAAGTTTATGTTGCAACCATATGAAACACACGAATTCATTCACTAGCTCAGTCACTAAATCTACTTTCAAAATCTACCACGATTCTAACTGTAGAAATCATAACATAATTTATCTCCTAGAATGCACACTATACCAGAAACAATATGTAGGAAAATCTGAATGGCCCTTTCACTACAGAATTAATAATTATCGCAATCGAATTAAGTCGACTCCCCATGAAAAATTACCTGTAGAACAACATTTCCGCCTGGAAAAACACGATTTCAAAACCCATGCCAAATTCGCTATAATTGAGAGAATAGAAAAGTTCAGAGCAGATAACATTAGAAAGATTTTAGAGTCCCATGAAAATAAGTGGATACAACGTCTAAAAACTCACTATCCAGCCGGGTTAAACCATAAATTTAACAATATAGATAGTACTAATATATAACTTTACAAATCAAAACCTACCAACATTTCTCACCCACACAAGACAGACATGCTTACGGAGGTGTGGAGGCCTCACACTTATACACACACCCACACGAATATACACACTTACACACATCATACTCACTCACTCCCTAATGAGCCAAATGATAACACAAACCCACAGCAATACACACGCTTACACATATCATACTCACTCACTCCCTAAGAACCAAATAATACACACACAAACACTAAACAGAGACACATACCTTCTCCAGGACCAATAAAATTGTCAAACTGACCACGGGAATTCAGAGAAGCATAGATCCATCCAGCTCTTATCTCAAATAACAACTTAAAAGAGACTGTTTGACCAACACAAGGAATGTTAAAAGATTCATGTTAAAAAGATAAAAAAATAAAAAAACAAAACAAATGAAAACTACAGACAAAAGTTCATTTTCTCCATCAAGACATTCATTTCTGTAGTTTACTGCTAACAGCAAGCAGAAATATTTCTTCTCCCGATGATGGCCATTTTGGCCGAAACTAGTCGAGGAATCTAAATGAAATAATAATAAA